CAAATTCCTAATATACTCAGGCTCCTGGTCTTATAATAATGCGAACAATAATGGATTCAATCTCTCATAAAAAAAGGCGTTATTACCTGTAGCATTAAAGCACCAAGGTTTATATTAAATCACGTAGAATATCACTTTTCCTGCTGATCGACTGGACCCACTGTTCACTCTGATTTCTCACCAGCTCTTCAAGTCACCCGGAAATAAAAGGGGAAATAATAGAACCTCGTTCCTTGCCATTTCTTGAACTGACCAAAAGGCCCATGGTCTGTGTGAGCCTGCTCTGGAAGTTTCTTTTTGTCAACTCTGCCAGTCCACCTCCACGACTGACTTTTGGCTCTGAATTTCCCTGATAAATCATCCACTTGCCCGAAAGAAACAAGTGGATCCACGGATAGTTGCTTCAAAACTACCTGCTTCGCTTTCTGATAAGCATCGTTATCCACTGTGATCTAATTTCCCTTCACCGTGCTATTGTAGAACCCTTTAATGGCTTTTGTCGAGCGAGTTTGAATCTTTATCTAGCGGCTGCTTACTCTGTAGCCGCTCATATCTAAATAGTCACCCCAGGGTTTTGCTTTGGAAAACGTAGTCGCTGTTCTGGCAGGTGCAACTGGCTGGATCCCAAGTTTCGCAATCCAGGTCTATCCAGTCACATTGTCCTTTCTCGGAGACTGAGAGAGTATTATAGTACAATCTAGTTTATTAAAGCCTGTGGAATTACCTTCAGGATTTTCATCGTCGTCGGCTTGGAATATCGGTGATGCAACAATTAGGCTGACAAAGAGAAGGATCGGTTGGGTGCAGATCACATAAAAGTCCGCGGTACGACACACACATATACTTACATATACTTGGCATTTTTTGCTGGGTGATGTGGAATTATCATGACTGTACACGGATCGCTTCCCTATAGGAAAAGGCGTGGAAAGCGAGGTCCGACTTTTACCTTAAAGTATGGAGCTGATGTACACGACTTGAAGATATACATTGTCCAGAGAACGCTCACATCTATGTACTCCCAAATTTGAGGATATAACGGCGTGTTATTATTATCTATTTTCATCTATTTCATTTCGAGTGTTCATTTCCATTTTTCTTATATTTCGTTCCCCTCAGACAGACACATCATGTTCCTACGGAACAGCCAAGTCCTCAGCTGCTGTTATCAACTCGTGCACAAGACGTAGTAGCCACAGAGGAGAAGAACCCTCTGCTTGGTGTTCTCACCGATTTGTGGCATCCGGAGTCAAATTCGAATGGGTTCTTCAGCGTTGGAATCGCCGAAAATGTCCTGATGCATGACGTGCTCCTAGAGTATATGAACAAGCAGTTAACTCTACCTGACGAATACCTAACTTACAACGACGGTGGCGCTGGAAGCACGCCACTAAAGAAGGCTACGGCCCGCTTTTTAACCGTCACTTGGCTCCGTTTACCCCCATCAGCTCCATCATCTAGCCATCACAAATGGCGTCTCGTCCGCTATCAAACAGTTGTCCTGGATATTCGCCAATCCAGGGGACGGTATTCTCCTGGGAAGGCCCTACTATGGGCAATGTATCCCGGACTTGGCAATGAGACTGGCAGCAAAGGTGGCCCCAGTGAACTTTGATGATTGTAGCCCGTTCGAACCGGCTGCCGTTGAGAAGTACCAGCAGGCGCTTCTCCAGTTTGAAAATCAGACGAGCAACAAGATCAGAGCCTTGGTCCTCTGCCATCCCCATAATCCTCTCGGTCGCTGCTATCCTGAGCAGACAATCATCGAAATAATGAGACTGTGTCAGAAATATCAAATCCACCTGATCAGCGATGAAATTTATGCATTGTCGACTTGGGAAAATGAGATCGATCCGACTCTGGCGCCAGTGAAGCTCCAATCCTTACTTTCGATCAGTCCCAAGGGCATCATTGATCCAGGATTGACCCATATTCTCTGGGGCATGAGCAAGGACTTCGGCGCCAATGGCATCCGAATCGGCGTCATTGTATCCCAAGCAAACGCGGGGCTTCATAATACCCTTTGCGCAACATCCCTCTATACCTATGTTTCAGGCCTTTCGGATTACATTGCGGCCAATATATTAGAGGACGGCGCTTTCACGGATCAATACATAGAAATGAATCGACAAAGGCAGCGGGATTCGTATCACTTTGTTGCCGAATACCTCCAGCGACGTGGGTTGGAGTATGAGCCTGGCTGCAATGCGGGCTTCTTCGTATGGGTCAACCTTGGGAAGAAGTACCTTGAAAATCGCCAGAAGACACAATATGATGGTCCGGACCTGTCCCAGGAAATCGTGGATCGTCTTTGGAATCAGAAGGTCTTTCTTGCCAGTGGCAATGCTTTTGGGTCCGAGAAGCCTGGCTGGTTTCGCATTGTTACCTCCCATCCGACAGAGTACCTGACAGAAGCATTGCGGCGCATTGAGCTTGCGATGGGGAATTAGATAGAAATCTGTTGGTCTTCCAGTTAGAGATATACGCTACTCTGATATTGCAATGTGCGCAGGTCCTTCGTAGTCTCGCCGATCAGTATATCCCCGCTGCTCCGTTTTTAAATAATGATTTACACCGAACACAGTATATCCGTTGTAATACCCCGAGGTGTTACTAGGTAGTGTCTCCATCTAGCTTAGTTATCAAAATCACCCTTGCCAGCTTCATCGTCAGAACAAACTCGTCGATTTAGACATCGGCAGGCTACGTATCTATCCGGATGTGACAATGAATATTTATAACAAAAAGCAAAAACATACAACAGGAGGGATTCGCTGGTGGTCACCCACCCAACTACTAA